TGTTACGACCAAGGGAGAGTCTTGTATTCGTTCGGCCAATTTAGCAAAGGGTCGTAATCATTAACAAGAGATAAACGAAATAATTTATTAACACGCAAAGGCACCAAAACGTAACAACTAATATGTCTCTAAAGTGTCCCAGACACTATCAATACTAATATCTTTATTCTTCTACGACTTAGCAAGTTCCAAACTTACTAGCCTTCAACTCGAAATCCTTCACATGAAGAACCAACAGATCCGAACGAATTCGCTCTGCTAACTGGTCTTGATCCTGATACACTTCCCCAACTACTTGTTCTACTACGCCCTGATGCGCTACCATTGTTTTTTTCAAAAAAGAAAAGCACATCATCTAATTCAGATGTATCACCTGCAAGGCGTTCCCAATTGAATACTTTATCATCAATCCAATCAATTGGAGATTGGAATAAACTTGGGATTGGAGTCATTGTTGAACGATCAGCCGCTTCGATAATTCGGTCAACATTGAAATCAGGGTAAATTCTTGGAGCTAATTCGTTAATTAAGTCAGTAAGATTATTGGACAATTGCTCTCGAACTGTACACAAATTCTCAATAGATGGTCTTGTCCACGGAAGTAATGACAAAAACAATGGACGGATTGATCTATTAAAGTGAAATTTATCATAAATTCAAATTCATTAAATAAATAATTCAATAATTAAATAATTAAAGGAATAATTAAAGGAATAATACATACTTGTATATATCAAGTCCACTTTCTACAAATCGGATAGTTACATAGCTGCCTGTTACCAACGTACAAAATGTAACTATAGGAGCAAATACTTTCCACTTTAATATCCATCTTTTTCTAAATGACACAAGAACAACGATAAATGTATAAAAGCTATAAAGAAGAGGTGTGACAACCAGCGCAACAAGAAGTTTCCAAGTTGCAAGAACATCACGACCTGCTATTTTAACAGATGAACCGCGAACCGCTTCTGTTGCCATTAAATATTAAGATGAGTTGCCTATCATGATCATCTAATAATAACATTAAATAAATTATCGAAAATAAAATCAAACCTTCTGCCTTTCTTTTACTGACTCTACGAGCAATTATTACAAGAGGAAGATTTAAAATAAATCTATAAATTATAAACAGATAAATAAAAAGATATTTATAATATAAAATAAAATATACTATAATATACAAATTTCTTACCCCGGTAAACCCAAAATACTCCAAGTAGTCAACAGTATTATCCTATACAGTAATAGTCCAGCAGCTCTAGGACCTCCGATAGCAGATTTATTTACCTGATGGTCCTTTAATCCATAATATTTTAATAATTGGTTATACGCCATTATTCTTTGTCGTATATCTTGTACCCTAGGTTCATCCTTAAAATGTTCATAACCAGCGATGAATCTCCGATTCAATTCTACAATTTGAGAAATTTGTAACTTGCGGTGAGCTGGCTTATACAGGCGACGTCCAGCTTGAATAAACTAAAGGCCAATTAAACACAAAAATATTTATGTATTCTTTTTTTTTCTTTGCTTGTTTATTATTGTTATTACTATACATATAGATTTTTTTTTGTAAAAAATGCCGATATACGTTACGACACACACCATCAATGTATCATAGTCTGGTGTATTCACGGTAACAGCTCTCAACCCGTTATAAATGGTCTCCAGTAATTTTGTGCAAGCTTCACGTTTTGATGAACCACCTTGTTTATATTTTTCCACCAATTCCGGATTGATAGAAATGGGCGCACCAAATTCGATAACGGCACGAGAACGAAAGGAATGAGCATGAAAATAATTTAACCCTTCATTTGTACAATAAATAAAATACGTTATTTGATCTAGAGAGAAATGTTACACTTAATATTTAAATAGATATCAAATTACCGCAGGGCATTATTTTGAGATTTAGACTTGGATTAGCGGCAATTGCACCAAGAGCCATTATAGTAACTCCAGCTGTAAATGATTAACGTAAGATTAATTTTATATAAAAAAAAAATTATTATATTAAATAATTAAATATCTAAAAAATTGGTTTACCCTTAAGTGGTAATATTTCTGTTCGATCGTGGCTTCCACCCTCAGGAAAAATGCCAATACATTGTCCAGCATTCAACCTTTCGAATACAACATTATACACAGATGTTTGGTCAACATGAGGTATGCATTTGAAGGGAGTACCTTCTGGATGAGTGAGCATTTCCAGAGATATTAAATCTTTAAACTCTCGTTTAATTATCAATTCTGTGTCTGATATTATCTGAACTATCTCTGAAGATCCACGATCTTTAGGAAGACCAATTTGCCAGCCAACTTTAAATTGTTTAGTAAATTCTGTTCCAATACCAGTTATACGTGTTGGATCAGTTTTACGATTGAGCAACTGAATTCGTCCTATACCAAGAACAGCCAAATCTTGAGGTCGAACAACGGGAACTAATTCGGGTTGTGAATAAAAATTTAATAAACATCATGTTCACTTTTCACAAGGTAAAAAAAAAATTTAAATAACTTACTTGCGTCGAGGTAACGTGCAATAGAACCAATGCACTTTCTCCGCATAGACTTTTCAGCAATTAAGAAAGAAACACGTCGTTGGCAATGTC